AGAGGCAGGGTCACGGAGGAGTGCAGGTGGCCCAGGAACTTCCTCTCTGTGCCTTTGTTCCTCCCTGGGGCTCTTGCCAGGTCTTGGGGATTGCAGGAAGCTTCTAGTGACTCCTCCTGTTCCTTTTCCTGGACCAGTGGCTTTGAGTGAGCAGTCTTAGAAGTTCTCTGTCGCTTTAAAAAGTTCTAAACCCTTCAGTCACGTGCCTCAGAAGTTTTGGTTACATAACGGGTTGCTCTGAATTGGGATTCTGCAGCCTCATGAGCTGGAGCCTCCTCCTTTCCCTCCCCCACCCGGCGCTGTGTTTTCTGTGGGTCAGGGTTAGCTTCTTTCTAACCATTGTTGCGGAACTCTTGAAATATTTGCTCTCGCAGGTTCTGAAAGCTGGCAGGCCTGGCTGCTCCCTGTAGGTTGTGAGACCAAAGCCTTCCAGAAAAGGAGCCAGTAAAATCCCAAGCATGTTACCAGAGTGTAACAGCTGCCCGGTGCACCGCCCCCGTTGCCCCCAACCCCGCCCCGGGCGGGTGGGGGGGAGGGCTGGGCTCCCAAGTGCTGAGGCCAGCAGCTCCCGGCCGGCCACTGTGGCCCACGACCAGAAGGAGCCGCATGCACCACATCGTGGCCTATTCGTAATCGTGGCGATGACAACAGATTAAATCACTGGCTCTCAGCGCTGAGGGCTGGGGTTTGTCAGGGTCACTCACTGTTCCCTTGCTTCTCCCAACTTTCCACGGTGAGAGAGAAGTTTGGAGCCCACTGCTCCGGCACAGATCCTTGTCGGGACCGCTCCGAGCTTTACCCTGAATGGGAGTTTGTCCTCCCAGTGGTCTGTGTCTTCCTTCCAACTTCCCCGACACATGATTCTGAAACACTGTGATCCCTCAGTATACACACGTGTTCATTTACGCCCTGCTTTCCCCCAGGTTCTGGGGTCCTAGGAGGCTTCTAGTGGTCTTTTCCTGGACCGATGGCTCTAATAATTTAAGGCTGTGATTTGTATATATGAAGAGGAAGAGTAGACGTATCCAAGGTAAAGGTTAGTTCACAAAATTCAGACTAAGTAACATCTGCTAAAAGCAAGGTGTAGTTGTTTTATGAGTTTCCTAGCAGTCAAAGTAAGGAGGGGACTTTATCAGGAATAAAATTCACATGTGTATAAGACACAGCCAGAGGAAGAGGATTCCTTGTACCGTATAAACTCACCCCGTCAGCGCTCCTATGGGAGCCTTACTCTTTTTTTTTTTTTTAAGACTTATTTATTTTATTTGAAAATCAGAGTTACAGAGAGGGAGAGGCAGAGACAGAGAGAGGACTTCCATCTACTGGTTCACTCCCCAAATGGCCACAACAGCCAGGGCTGGGCCAGGCTGAAACCAGGAGCCAGGAGCTTCATCTGGGTCTCCCATTTGATGCAGGGGCCCAAGCACTTGGGCCACCTTCTGCTGCTTTCCCAGGTGCATTAGCAGGGAGCTGGATCAGAAATGGAGCAGCCAGGACACAAACTGGCGCCCATATGGGATGCCAGCACTGCAGGCCGCTGCCTTACCTGCTGCACCACAGCACCAGCCCAGAGAGCCTTCCTCTCGTGAGCTTCCCCGATGTGAACAGCATAGCGCTGGGGCAGGCTTGGCGGCACAGCCCCTGTAGGACAGGCGCTGCACTGGAGGCCTGTGGAGGGTGTCCCAGTGCCCCAGTGCGGGCTGCTCCCACGGCGCCTCCCTGAGGAGCTTGCTGCCGGGAGTTGCTGACGACAGAGGCGCCCAGAGCTGGCGCACGTGCGTCTGCTGCTGGCCGCTGTGAGAGGCTCTGAGCAGTGCTGCAGTTCAGAGCTCAGCCTCGCCTCGCTTCCCGGACGGAGGCGATCACAGACGCTTGAACCATGCGCTCGGCACATTAGGTCAGCAAACTCTCTCGAGGCTGACATGCTGTCGGTCACAACCGGCTAACCCTGCCAGGGCCTGGAACTGTGTGACTGTTCCAATACAACTTTACTTTTAGGTACTGAAATTTGGATTTCATACAATTTTTTTTTTAACGAGACAAGGTGTGTTAGGAGCCCTGTTTACACTCAGATTCCTGGCGGGTGCTCAGGCTCGTTGGCCAGAGCAGTGTTCTTTTTTTTTTTTTTTTTTAATTTATTTGACAGGTAGAGTTATAGACAGTGAGACAGAGAGAAAGGTCTTCCTTCCGTTGGTTCACTCCCCAAATGGCTGCTACGGCCGGTGCTATGCCAATCCGAAGCCAGGAGCCAGATGCTTCCCCCTGGTCTCCCATGCAGGTGCAGGGCGCAAGCACCTGGGCCATCCTCCACTGCCCTCCCGGGCCACAGCAGAGAGCTGGACTGGAAGAGGAGCAACCAGGACTAGAACTGGCGCCCGTATGGGTTGCCGGCACTGCAGGTGGAGGATTAACCAAGAGAGCCACGGCACCGGCCCCCTCATATAATTTTTATAGATCACAAAAGAGTATTCTTGGTTTTTCCAGCCATTAAAAAATGTAAAAACCATTGTTAGATCGCAGGTCATCTACAAGCAGGTGGCAGGCCAGACTGGGTCGGGACCTCTGATCAAGTCCTTGCATGGCCTGTCTTCCCGGTGAGCAGCCTTCTGGGTGCCACTCCTCGTGGTCCGGTTCTCATGTAGACGTCTGGGTTTATGGTTTTAGAGCAGATAAAACGAAAAGGGAGCAGAGAATCTGTCTGAGTGTTCGCAGGGTAGTCTAGGATGTTCCTTAGAGAGCTGTGGTGGCTCTCTTAAAGACGACGTGTGTAAGTGGACAGTGGAGCCTTGCTGTGTGTGTGTGGCTGGATCAGTTTTAGGCTGGAAGTGTCTTAGGGGGCATTATCCTTCCTTCACTGCACCCACAGAAAGCCTCAACAGAGGTAACCAGTCAGCCAGTGAAGTAGACCGGGGGCTGTGGCTCCCACCTGGCCCAGTCTGGCAGCGTTCTCCCTGGATTGTGGCTAGGGCAGGACAGGGGGGGTCTCCCTGGATTTTGGCTAGAGCAGGACAGGCGTGGGGGTGTGGCTGCATTCTTTCAGCTTCTCAGGATGTCATTATAATAAAAGATGTCATTTATAATAAAGTAGAAACAAAACATTCCCATCACCACAGCTGACATTTCGGTTCCAGTTACACAAGTATTTTTTATTGAGTGCTTGGTGTATATAAAACATTTGGCTTGGTTTTATGGGGGATGCTGAAAGAAGCGAGGAGCAAGCAGTTCCCTCTTTACCTTGTGAACCAAGGTCAAGGTCCTCGCCAATTTAGAACCGGTTGCCGTACTGTTGGGGTTTGTGTCACCACCCTGGCGTTTGCCTTAACATCCATTCTCTCATTCATCCATCGCCCTGGGTGGCAACCTGTGCTCCAGGCAGTGGCGACAGGGACCCCAGGGCGTGCTCCCCGAGGTTCCTTGGTGTTCTTGTTCTCCAGCACTCTTGCCTGCCTCCTGTCGTGTGACAGAACAGAAGCTGTTGCTGCATGTCCCAGGACTCCAGCCTTTGTGTCCCCTGCTTTGTGGACTTTCAAGAGTGACTTCTTTCACTCAGTCTAATCTTTGAGAGTCATTTTCAAGCTGTTGCGTATATAAATTCCTTCATGCAAGTTATTGTTTATATGAATAATTTTTCCTTTTCCTTTCTAAATACCATTCCATTGTGGAATACAACAGTTTGGCTATCCACTTACCACTTAAGTTTTCTTTTTAACATTTAAGATTTCTGGAGTGCTGAAGTACATTAAAATCAGTGTATGTTTTTAATGTGGTGGAGTTTTATTTTCCCAAAAAGCTACTATTGAATTGGTGGTGCATCTTAGAATGAACGAACTGCCTGAGAATCCAGGTACTGTGGTGGTGAAGCATCGGTGTGAGAGCAGAGAGGGTCATCTGGGTTTCCTAGGAGTGAGGCAAGGGGCAGTCAAGAGAGGCCCTGAGCTGAGAGCTTTCCTGGCTGCTCCCAGCCTCGGAGGGCTGTGGGGAAGCTTTGAGCAGAGGCCACCCCAGAAGGGATGTCTTGAAGGAGCCCCAGCTCCTTGTGGTCAGTCCCAGGGTAGCCGTTGGCAGCATCCGTGATCCCGGAGCAGAGAGGTGGCTGCAGCACTGCTGGTGCTGGGCGGAATGGGGGAGAACGTGGAAGAGGCCAGTGGGAGCGGGGCTGGGGGGGCCGTCCCTGCGGCACACGCCAGTGTCCAGGCCAGTTCCTGGGTGGGAAAGCGTGGCGTGCAGAACCAAGGACAGCTGCTGCCAAGCTCTGGGCGAGCTGGGTGGGCGTGTTAGAGGAAACCGTAGACAAAATGAGAATGTCGCGGAGCTGCACAGATACCGAGTGAGGCGGACGTAGGGGTACAGTGCACTGCTAAATGGGCACGGGGTGTGCCAGCTGATATGAACTTGGGTGAACTGTATGATTATTTGATGGAAACAAACTGTGGTTTGGGCTATCTCCATGTAGAAGTGAGGGTATTACAGTTAGCAGTGTGGCCCAGAGTTTTTTGCCACTCTTACTCTTGGGTTCCATCTCCCTGGGCCACAAGTCTGGTGACACTCTTTGGCACACCCCCACATTTTAGGTAGAGAGAGCAGACAGTCGCCTGCATGCAGAGCCTTGGAGAACCGGCCCCTTCAGCCACGGGGCAAAGTCAGAACCTAGCACGGGACAGTAATTGGCCCAAGGGACTTGCCCTGCTTGCCGCCTGGCTTTTTTCGGGGAGCCTCCTCCGTGGGAGGTGCTCCTTTGCACCCACTCACACCCATGTTTGCACCAGGTCAAGGAGAGGTAGGTGCCGGTTCCTAGAGGGGACTGAAGGACTCCCTCCATCGGTCTCTCCTCTGCCTCCAGTTTCACTGAAGAGCCCCTTCTCAGATAGAAAGCATAGAAGTGACTCCTCACTTTGTGTAACAGCACATTTGCAAAATGAACTGTTCTTTAACACTGTGCCGCAGTGGGTGAAGGGTCTGTTACTTGTGCCATTGCTAATTCTGTCCTCAATCTCTCCTAGAAAAGACTGTATCTTCACCATTGACCCATCAACTGCCCGGGACCTCGATGATGCCCTCTCCTGCAGGCCACTCGCTGATGGTAGGGTGGAAACTTCCGTGCCGCTGCTCTAGCAGGCAGTCTGCATACCCGTGCCTGTGCTCCCCACACAGCATGATGTGTGCCGCTGGGTTGCTTTATTCCTCAATTTGCCGCGGCCTCTGAGCCCTCACAGCTGTGTGACTTTAAGGTTGTGTTCCTGTGCTGACCTCGGTGAGGGTGGGAATGAGGAATGGCCTTGTACTGGGATCTGCCTTGGGACTTGAAAAGGTGCTAGTGAGGGTGGAAGAACTAATTCCTGGCTTTGGCCCTTTGGTTAGTTCCATTTTGGATGTACGGTACTGTGGAAAGAAGGCTCCCATGGGCCGTGCTTGGAGAGCACAGAGTTCTTGCCCTGAATTTAACTCCAGACTGGGGAGATGCCAGGGGTACCTCCCAGGGCGTGCTCCACATGGGTGGTAGGGACACCTGCCCTACGAAGTGCGTCTCCTGGCCTGAGCTGGAGAACTCTGGGTTACTCCCAGTAGGTCTTCAATACCAAGCCTATTGCAAGAGGAAGACTGTTAGAGCCTCCTTAAGCGTTCTTGGAGAATGTTGCTAAGCAGGAAAAGGCAGGGTTGGGGCCAGTGGTCTTTGGAAACTATGATGGGGGAAGAGAGCAGCAGCTGACTTTCAGAGGGCACGTGTAGGGTGGAAGAAGAGTAAACCCTATCGAGCCCTTTGCTCTGTCCCCCAGGAGTTCTGCTTGTAGTCCCTGGCGGTTTCCTGCCGCTCTGTGGAATGGGGTCTGCAGAGGTGACTCTAAGCATTGGCCACTCTTGGAGATGGCCTTGTTACTGACATGGCTTTGACAGTTGCCCACAGAGGATCTGCACCCGTGCAGTTTCAGTCTGTCATGGAGAGTTAATGGCCCAGGGGCCTGGTGGTTTAACACATTGCGAAGATGCTCACAGCTGCCAGTGAGCCAGGTCTCCCGTGTGTTCAGTGTGTCATGTCGTCTCTCCCAGAACAGGCAGTGAAGCTTAGTGAAGAGGAGGCTGAGAGACAGAACACATCATTGCCTAAAAATGTGTTTATCTTCTTTCCGTGGGAGTCCCCCATCTGACTGTGGGCAGAGCAACTCGGTATTTTCAATTAAGGATCATTGAAAGGAGGATAAAGCATAAAGAGAGAAAAGTCCCCATGGAAATTTTAGAGAAAGTGTCTATTTTTATACCCCAGAATTGGAGCAGCCTGTTTACAAAAAGCAAACACAGGGCGGGTTCTTGGTCCTGAGCAAGCTCTGCCACGTGCGGAGGTGTGGGCAGGCCTGCTCTCTGCAGGCTGCCTGTCCCTGAGCTGCCGCGTGAAGAGTGTCCCCAGGCGGAAGGGGTGGGGCACAGCTTTGCTCTGGTAGTGGTCTGATGCTTGAAACCTGTTGCTTCATTTACTCTGTCCAGTTTTATAGTTGTTCATGGCAGCAGGGTAAGTCTGCTACCTGTTACTCCAGCTCAGCTGGCCCGCGAGGTGCTAGGGAGCAGGTGCGTGTCCGGTCCCACTCACTCTCCACCCTGGGACTTTGAGTCTGGGGTACAAGGGGGCCTGCAGAGGTTTTGTGGAGGAAAGAGTAAAACGTGTGTCAGGAAGGGTAGACTAGGGAGAAATTGCAGACCGAAGACTCCTCTTTATCCGTCAGACAATGGAAAGCCAAGCAGATTGTTCAGGAGAGCAGTCAAAATGGGGACAATCCATTGGCAGTGCAAGAGGGAAGGAGAGAAAGCAGGGGCTGGCGAGGAGTCAGAGAAACGTGCAGTGGTGTGCAGAGAAAACCGGACTGAGCTGGTGGCCGTCTCGTGGGGGCTGGGAGGGACAGATGTGAGAAGGGATAGTGACCGATAATGAAGACTCGGTGGACAGGGATGTTGAAATTGAGGGCGAGGAGTCCAGGGTGGTGCCAAGATCTCAACGTAATGATGAGGGAGATGGCACCCCTGCATTGACATGGGGAGGCCGGGAGGCCACGCTGGGGAGGGAGAGAGGAGCTCGTGGAGGGGACCCCGCTTCCCTCTGGGGCCATAGCTGTGCTCTGTCAGTAGCCTGATGCTTGGAACCAGTCTGTCTGATGACATAGCTTTATGGGAGGTGCTGCAAATCCTCCTCAGAGAGGTAGAGTATGAATAAGCTAAACAAATGCAGTCTATACCGCTGCACACAGCCCCGAGGAGAAGTATTAGCAACACACCAAAATGCCAACATGACTTTATTAGGATGATGGGGTCATAATTGCTTTTTCTCTAGTTTCCAAATTTTTATACTGTGGTAGTAATAGTTTTATAATGGAAAAAAAAGTTTGTAATAAAAAAATTATGAGGTGCCAGAAATCTCAGGCTGCCCAGTAGCCCACTGCCCCAGGTGGTCAGGGACTTGCACCTGCTTGGTTTTCCTGCATTCCAGCAGAGGCGTACATCTGTCCTTTTGGCCGAGCCGCGGAAAGGAGACATGGAAAAGGAGTCAGCAAAGGCTCTGAGCAGGCCTGGGTCGGTCAGTCAGGCGTTGTGGTGGTGGCACTTCTACAGTTGGCCTTGGTGACAGCCGTTCCTGCCAGGGCCATTTATCCAGGGAGATGAAAAGTGAAAGTCGGTTCCAGTTTGGATGGGGGTGAGGTTGGCTAAGTTCAAGTTCTGTTAGTTACCAGTTCATGTCGATTCTTGCTTAGAGGAAAAAGTGTTTAATGTGTCTAAGAGCAAGTGATATTTTCTGGGCATATTTATATCATCTATAACCATTTTTTATTTAAAGAAACTGCTGTATAAAAGTTAATCTTGGGATAGGCACTTGGCCTAGTGGCGAAAATGCCAGTCAGGAATCTGCATCCCATCCCGGAGTGCCTGGGTTCGAGTCCCAGCTCCAGCTCATGGAGACCTTAGGAAGCAACAAGCGATGGCTCACGTAATTGGAGCCCTGCCAGCCACACTGGAGATCTGGATCGAGTTCCTGACTCCTCGCTTCGACCTGACGGAGCCTTGGTTATTGTAGGCATTTGGTGAATGAGCCAGTAGGTGGGAGCTAACTCTGTCAAGTCTGTCTCTCTCTCTGCCTCTCAAATAATCTAAATAAGTAAATAAAGAAATAACAAAAGTTAAATTTTCCTTTGGTGCAGTTGAAATCACTCGAGTGAGTATTCTTGGAGTAATAGAACACACACACAGGAACTTCCTCGTTAGTCTTTCCTGTAGAGTTCAGATGTACTTCCAGGACTTGTTGCCCTACTGCTGTTAGGTACCCAGCTTAGGCCGTCAGTCCTACGAAGCACAGTGACTGCTTGTTCACCAGTAGCTCGTAACGCCCCTCGTGGAGTCTTAGCTTTGGGAAGGTTCTACTGGTGATTTGCCACTTCTGTGAGGGGAAGAACGCTCCCAGGAGCATGCCCCAGCAAATGTGGAGTCTTTCACTTTTTCTCAAGAAAATATTGAACAACGCAAGTGAGTAGCGGTGGTGCTATAGTGATAACCCAGAACCTAGAGACGGTAAATCACTCGTTTCAGCGTTTTATGACTGTAACAGATCACTTGCAACACACCTCACAGCTGAGCTCAGCAGTGCAGTGTGGGAATGCCACGGTTGTCAGATCACCTCTGGCTGTTGAATTACTTCTGCAGCATCCACGTATTGAATATCCAGATTGCAGCTGAACTCTGCCTTAAAGGCAACTCACTCTGCCTTGTGATGCTTGGCTGGGGAAATCCTACCCTGTAGTGACCTGAAACGCGCTGTCTCCCTGTACTTTTCTACCTCTACTCCCGTGTGTGCTCCTCGGGCCCTGCAGAGCTAACCTCGTGTCTTACGTGACAGCCCCGACACCGGATTGCAGTTAGCGTGTGACTGCCCTTAGCTAAGCACCTTGCACGTCCTGTGGCTTATGAGGTGTGAGTCCATTTCCCATGTCAACAGAGTCCCTCTGCTTTACGAAGTCTGCGTACGTGGCTTCTTGCCCGTCAGGGCCTACGGGCTGTCTTCAGGCCAGATCCTCTGAACTGGACAGAATCGGGGCCAGAGTCGTGGCTTCCCACTCTGTGCAGTTGAATGAGCACTGTTGCTTTGTAGTGCCCTGGAGTCTGAGAGAGACACGTCGGGACCTTCATTCAGCTTCTGGTTGATCCGGGCTCCCAACAGAACCTACAGGAAACTGAAGTCTGCTTCTCACAGGTGCGCTTTGCCATTGTGTGCAGTGGGCTTATCCTACCCAGGCCCTGGAAACGAATGAATGGGAACGACCAAGGACCCAAACTGCAGACAGATGCGGTTTGTTTTTGGGGTAATGAAAATGTCTGAATTTAGATAGTTGATAGTTGAATAACTTGGTGAATATATCAAAAAACACTCGGGGGAAGAAGTGGATGGATGAGTGTATGAGAAAGTGAGAGACTCCACCGAGTGGCTTCCCAAGGAAAGGGTCTCCCAGGCAGGGGCCCCACAAGCACAAGGCGCGTTGAGCAGTGGGCAGTGCAGGCAGAGGCGCCAGGCAGAGGAGAAGGGTAGCCCGTGGCTTAGAGGGCCCGCGCAGTCGGAGCCAGCGAGAGCACCGGCGCTGCACAGGTGTCTGGGAGCCAGGTGGAGGCACGGTGCTGAGGAGGTCTTGCTGGAGACGAGCGAGCGCGCCAGGCGCAGCAGGGCTGAGGGAAGGCCGCAGGGGATGACGGAGACTCAGGTCTGCACAGGGAGGAAAGAGGCGAAACAGGAAACATACAGGGGCTGGGGTGACTCATGGGGTCGGGGCAAGGTCTCATCAAAGGCAAACTCAGAGGCCAGCAGAAGGCCAAGCCTCTGACCCGCCGTCCACTGTGGCCATGGAAGTAGTAGGAAGGACAAGTGGCCACACGTGGGGACGAGGCGCACGCGGGGCAGGAAGGGGCTTGCAGGCTCTGTGAGGAGTGGGATTTAGGCTCCGAGGTTGAGGATGAGCAGAGTGTTTTAAACAGGAGCACGTCGGGTTCCTGTGTGCAGGAGGGAGATGGCGGTGGCTGTGAGATCCTGTCTGCAGGTGGGGGAGATCGCGGTGGCTG